TGTGTGTGTGTGTGTGTGTGTGTGTGTGTGTGTGTGTGTGTGTTGCGGCTGTTTGGTCTTATTTTTATGGATTAGTTTTAGAGTTATTTATTTTATATGTACAGATATTTTTCCCACATGTACATATGTGTGCCACCTGAACACCTGGTACCTGAGGAAGTCAGAAGAGGGCATCAGATCCTCAGGAACTGGAAGCTGCTCCAGGTTGTGGACCACTATGTGGGTGCTGGGAATAACCGCTGAGCATCTCTCCAGCCCTCCTATTTCTATGGTGTTTGTTTGGTTGCTTAGTTTTGGAGTTTTGTTTTGTTTTTGTTTTGTTTTTTTTTTTTTTTCTTGAGACAGCGTCTCATGTAGCTCTGGATGGCCTCAAACTCTTTATATAGCCAAGGATGACCTTGGACCTACTCTTCAGATCTACCTTCTGAATGCCAGGGTTACAGGGTGTACCTCAGCATCCAATTCCCAGGATCTCTTAAAGAAAACCTCAAGAATCTCCAGGATGGGAGGTATAGCCCAGTTGGTAAGGTGCTTGCCTGCCACACAGGAAGACCTGGGTTTGAGCTCCAGCACTACAGTGATGACACACAGTGACCCCAGGGATAGAGCTGGAGGCAGGAGGATTAGACATTCAATATCGTCCTCGGCTATGTAACAAGTTCAGGATGAGACTGGGATACAGGACAGGGGTGAGGGGAGAGAAACTGGGTACAGGACAGGGGTGAGGGGAGGGAGCCTGGGGGTACAGGACAGGGGTGAGGGGAGGGAGCCTGGGGTACAGGACAGGGGTGAGGGGAAGTTTTCATTCTTTCTTTCTCTCTTGTTTTAACCATATGATATCTTATCTATAATTGTGTGTGTGTGTGTGTCTGTGTGTCTGTGTGTGTCTGTGTGTGTCTGTGTCTGTGTGTGTGTCTGTGTGTGTGTGTATGGGTGCACGTGTGTGTGCATGTGGGTAGAAGTCAGAGGATGACCTGGGGTGTCATTCTTCAGGGCCTGGGGCTGTCTGTCTTTCACACTCTCATCCAGTAGACTGTACTGGCTGGTGAGCCCCAGGGGTCCTCTGGTCTCCATTTCCCAAGCGCTGTATTTATACATTTTTTTTTTTCTCACATGGGTTCCAGGAATTGAACTCGGGTCTGAATGCCTATAAGGCAAGCACTTTATTAACTAAGCTTTTGCCCAGGTCACTGGCCTATAATTATCAAAAAGAGAGAAGGGAGGTGGTGATATGGCTCATTGACTAAAGATGCTTGCCACCAAGTCTGAAAACCTTAGTTCCATTTCCCAACTCCTGAAAGTTGTCCTCTGATTTCCACCCATACACTGTGGAGATCAGAGGACATTTCACACACACTCTCACACATTCACACTCACTCACACACACACCACAAAGACAGAAAATTAAAGTAAAAAATAAATAAACTCAAAGGAAGAGAAGGGAGAGAACTCAGGAGACTGAAGCAGGATTGGAAATTCAAGGTTAGCCTGACCTACATAGTGAGACCCTGAATTAAAAACAAACAGAGCTGGAGAGATGGCTTAGTGGTTAAGAACACTGACTGCTTTCCAGAGGACCTAGGTTCAATTCCCAGCACCCACATGGCAGCTCATAGCTATCTGTGACTCATGTTCCAGGGGACGACGAGACACCCATGGCAAAACACCAATGCACATAAAATAAAAACAAATGGAAACTAACAAACTAACCAGAGATCTCTTCAGAGGCTGAAGTGATCTCCCAGAGTTTGCTGCTCTTCCAGAGGACCTGAGGTTTAATCCCAGCCCCCACCCCATCAGACCGCCCACAGCAACCACCTGAAACATCAAAGGAATGCCCAGTAGGGAAAGCAAATAAACTGTCACGTGAGTCCCCTCCTTTTGCTCAGTGTCCCAGGTCCAGGGGGAGGGGTGGATCTTCTAGTATCTCCTATCTACCTCCCCCCTATATGGGAAATGAAGATTCCACACACCCCCTATCCTGACAGACTCGTGTAGCCCAGGCTGACCTTGGATTTGCCATGTAACTGTAAATGACCTTGAGTTCTCGATGCTCCTGCCCCCACCTCCTGACTGTTGGGATTACAGGCATCCACGGGGCTGGTTTTAGGCATTCAACACCATGGCTGGTCCTATGCAGTGTTGAGAACTGAACACAGGCCTTGCGCAGTTAGGTGAGCACTTTACCAACAGACCTTCATCCTAAGACCTTGGTCCTTTCTTTTCTTCTTTCCTGATAAATTTTGCCGCTGTGCTGGGGAATCGAACCTAGAGCCTCACACATACTAGGCAATTGCTGTACCACTGAGCTGTAGCTCCAGCCTTCTTTTGACTTACATCCCTTAGTTTCTTGTTTTTGATACAGGGCCTTACTATGTAGCTCCAGCTGGCCCTGAATTCCCACAACTCCTCCTGCCTCTGTCTTCTATTGCTGGGTTTAAAAACATGTGCCACATGGCAATCTTAGCTACACCACCCTGACCACGTCTGGTCTTGAAAGCTGGGCTAAAATCATGTGTCACACCACGCCTAGTGTTTACTTCGTATTTGAGACAGGAGTTGCCCAGACTGACCTGGCAAACTCACTCTATACCCTAGGCTGACCTTGAACTTGAGATCTTCCTGCTTCAGCCTCCAGAGTAGCTGAAATTACAGACCTGACTAGAGCAATTAAAGATCCTATCCCCCACCCAGGGATTCACTATGTAGACCAGGTTGGCCTCAAACTCACAAAGATCCTCCTGTCTCTGCCTCCCCGTTCTGGGACTAAAGGTGTATGCTAGCCACCACCTCCACCATGGTCTGGAGTTTTTGATTGTCCTGCCTTAGCTTCCCAGGCGCTGGGTTGGCAGGTGCACTGCCATGCCTACCTTGAAGATTTCTCTTCTTGTTCCAATGTGGGGAAGATAAGAAGCCTCAGAAGGAAGGCCCGGCTAGCCTCCCTCTGTTCCTTTCTCAGGTTTCACCGCCCTCCCTTTCTCCCTCCTTCCAGGAACCTGAGACTAGACCAGCCACGTTGAAGGTCGAAGGCAGGACTTCCCTGGGCCAGACTTTTGGGCGGCGCCCGCATATGAGGAGCCTGCCACCCACCGGGAAAGAGCGGTACTGCAGGCGCCGGTGTGCAAGACCCACCCCTAGCCAGTTCTTTTCCTGTTTGTCCTCATGTGACTTACAGTCTAATGGGACTGGTAAGAGCGATAGAAGTCCTGGCAGCAACTTAACAGCCTGTTTTTGGTGGAAGGACTTTTTTTTTTTTTTACAGCACAGATAGTATATATTTTTAGTAGAATATTTAAAAAGAAAAGCCCAGACGTAACTTCCAGTAGAGGTGTGCATAGCTGCTACACTGTATGTTTTACAAAAACGAAGGCAGCCATTCATGGTATTTTGTAGGCAGACTCTTATTTCTTAAAATTTTGTTTAAATACAATATGGTAGGGACACATAAAATGTATTTCAGTATACCATGTTTTTATTATTACTAATTTTACCTGTGTAAGTGTTTTGCCTGTATGTGTGTCTATGTACCATGTGCAGACCTGGTGCCCACAGGGGCCAAAAGAGGACATTGGATCCCCTGAAACTGGAATCACGGACAGTTCTGGCCCACCATGTGGGTTCTGGACCCTTGTCCTCTGCAAGAACAGCAAGTGCTCTACATCAGAAAGCCTTCTCATCAGTGCTGAATTCCACATCTTCACATGCCATATATTTGCTTTTCTTCTTTTTCCTTTTGAGACAGGATCTCATGTATTTTAGTCTGGTCTCCAACCAGCTTTGTAGCCCAGGGTGATGTTGAGTTTCAGATCCTCCTGAATCCACTCCTGGGGCTGCGATTGCTGGTGTACACCCTGACGCTCAGTTTCAAATTCAGCACTTCCTACACAATTCCTACCGAATGAACTGCATCCCCTGGCCTAGTTCATTTTTAACTGAACGTAACTGTGGATGGTTAATACTAACGCTGTGTGTCTGTAATTCCAGCTGCTCTAGAGGCTGAGTCAGGAGGATCATTGCAAATGAGAAGCCAGCCTGAATTTTGTGATAATTCTAGGTCAGCCAGGGCTACAGAATGAGATCCTGTATCCACCAGGGTGTGGCGGCACAAGCATTTAATCTCAGGAGGTAGAGGCAGGTGCATCTCTGAAGTTGAAGCTAGGCTGGTCCATATACAGAGGTCCAGGGCAGCCAGAGCTGCATGGTGAGATTCTGTCTAAAAACAAACAAACAAACAAACAAACAAACCATACAACAAAGAAAATCAATAATAACTGCTGTTATTTGTTGAGCAAGATACTAAATGCTTTACGTAAAACACATTGAGTCCTACAAACAACACTGATATCCGGTGTTATTATTTCTTTTGTTATGCGAAAGAAACTGAGGCCCAGAAAAATAGAGATTTATTCAACCAAAGCAGCAAAACCAGGCTCTAACTCCAGCTTTATCCCTGAACCTTCATCCCAGACTGTGTGTTGTGTCTGCTTTGCGACAGCCCCTAGAAGTCAGCGGGTGGAAAATGCAGGAGGAGCTCCTGGGATGCATGCACCTCAAGCAAGGTGGAGATGAGGATACAGACAGAACCTTCTCCAACAAGAGACAGGGAGCTTAAACATCACTGGGGGACCAGAAGCCAGAGGGCAGGAAGGAATCAGGAAAGGCTGCCTGTGGGAGGTAGGGAGCTAGGAATGGGGCAGGAAGAGGTAAGGAAGGGAGTACCACGTGCACTTCCAGAGCAGCCTGAAGGAAGTCAGGTATTGACAAATGTAAGAACCTAAACAGCAACCCAGGGGTGGTGGCACATGCCTTTAATACCAGGGCAATCTGTGAGGCAGAGGCAGGTGGATCTCTGTGAGTTGTAGGCCAGCCTGGTCTACAAGAGCTAATTCCAGAACAGCTAGAGCTACACAGAGAAACCCTGAATCAAAAAACAAGGCAAGGTGGGGGACCTAAACAGCAACGAGGGAGTAAAAATATCTGAGCATGACAGGGTCTCACTATATTGCCTTGGCTGGCCTAGAACTCGCAATGTGGATCAGGCTAGCCTCACACTCACAGAGCCCTACTTGCCTTTGCCTCCCTCCTGCCTAGCTGAGCTCTCCCTCTGTGCCAGGTGCTCTCCTGCAATCCCATTAGTTACTGATAAAGTGTTTCTTTTAAGAGGCTTTAAAAAATCACATTTTTATTTGTGTGCGTACACATGCACACATGTCCACAGCATGCGTGTGGAGATCAGAGGACAGTTTTCAGGAGTCATTTCTCTCCTTCCACCAGTTGAGTCCTGATAATCAAACTTGGGTCATCAAGCTTGGCAGAAAGTGTCTTACCTCCCAAGTCATTTGCTGCTTCAGCATATGAATGTGTGCTGGCTGGAGAGGCGTCCGATTCCTCGGATGTGCAGTTGCAGGTTTTTGTGGACACTGGCCTTGTTATTTAACAACTCCAGACCTTAGGATTGCACCGGTGCTCCTAATGGCTGAGCCAACGTCTCTCCAACCCCTTGATGAAGCTTTTCATAGTGGTTCAATGTGAAAACTTTGGAGCCAAATTTTTGGATTTGAAGTTTAATCTGGCTTTATCATTTAAAGAGTGAAAGTTAGGCCAATGATTTAGCCACATTAGACCTTAGTTGCCTCATCTACAGAATGGATCAGCCTAACACCCAGGTCAACGTGTTGCAACTAAGAAAACAGTACAGGCCAAGAGCCTGTTACACTGTAAGTGTTTAGTAAACGCCAGCTAAGTCAATCATCCCAAGTTTGCAGAATATCCCCAGCTCACATGTGGGGCTTTCGAAGGTTACTTATGGATGATTATATAGTTAAGTGGCAGACGTGAGACTTGAATTTAACATCAATGATTCATGTTGTCCTGTCTCCTCGCTGTAGAACCCATCACACTAGTTGTCACAACATGTTTACATGTACCGCCTTCAAGACTGGTCACTGTTGGATCCCCAGCTGAAGGGTGATACTGAGACCCTAAGGAAGCATGATGGCCAGTTCAGTTACACCAGGAAGGATGTAGTGATTATAACATCCCTGGAGACTTGCTCGAAAGATGTTTCAATACCTTCCAGAATTAGTCTCCTGGTAGACAACTATATATTGATCCAGGAATAAAAAGAGCTCTTAAGCCAGTCATTGATGGTGCCCGCCTTTAATCCCAGTACACGGGAGGCAGAGGCAGATCTCTGTGAGTTCAAGGCCAGCCTGGTCTGCAGAACGAGTTCCAGGACAGGCTCCAAAGCAATACAAAGAAACCCTGTCTCAAAAACAAAACAAAACAAAACAAAAAGGCAGGGGGGGGGAAGCTCTTAGCTGGGAGAAATTGTAATAGAAGTAGCAGGCAGAATACCCCAAATATGGTTTCCTCCTAAGCAACTGCTGTTCTTAGCCAGGGTCACCCCAAAGCCTCTTGCACCATCATGAGCTTTCCCACTATGGAGCTATTCACCTACCAGCTCCTTGTTCCAGAAAATAGTACAACAGAGATAGGCTCGGTGGCTTGGTGTCAACATCACCAGCTGCTAGAGAGGATGACTTAGATCCAAGGCTGCCTGGAGATGACCTTGGGAGGTGCCTGGCACAGAGAGGCTAGTCAGTCCCAGGGGGTGGGAGGCAGTGAGAGACAGCATGTGCACAAGTGCCACCTCAGTGTCCCAAGACGTTTGGAGGCCTGGTCCATTCTCAAGGATGACTTGAAATACTTCGGCAGAGGTCAGAACACTTTGAAATGGTCAATTCTGACTGGCTGATATTAACTACATCTATTAGGAGGGCTCAGTGTGTTATTTCCACTCTAGTATATGACGTGCACTTATCTACCTCTCTTTATTCCCCCACACACCTCTCTGAGACCCCACATCCTTCCCAGTCTCTACTGATATTTCTCTTGCGCTGTCCATCCTCCTGTCTCAGCCTCCCTGTGCTGGGACTATAGGTGCATGCAACCATGACCGACTTTGCTAATACCTCCCTGTTCTGATCGAAAATCAGCTCATCAAGAGCTTGGCCCAGTTAGCTCCTGGGAGTTGTTATTCTGCCCTCTAAAGCAAACCCTGTGTAGCTCCTAGGCTAAGAGGACAGGTGGAGCCCCAGCCTCCCTGGGTCCACCACTTACCTAAGACTGTGCCACCTGGGGTGGTTTCACGATCTGAACCAAGGAGGACAACATCTACCTAACAGGGTCCAGGTGGGGATTGACGTCATCAGTGAGTGCCTGTCATGGGACAAGTGCTGGGGTCACAGCAGTAAACAAAACCAAGTTCCTGTCCCCTTGGTGTTTAATAGAGGAAGGCAGACACTAATCCCATAAATATTTAACGTAACAGATGGAGGTAAGCATGATGGAGTAGTGTAGGGAGAGGCAGATAGAGTGTCCAGTGTAGGGAGGAATTGTTTTGCTTAAAGACGTCAAGGAAGGCCTCTCTGATAAAGTGGAACACACATGTAATCCCAGCACCTGGAAGGCATTATTAGTTAAAGGCTGTATACTGAGACCCTGTCTCAAAAACAAAGACAACAAAAACCCCACATAACCAGCTATTGTGGGGCTTCTCACCTGTCATCCTAGGACTTGAGATGCTGAGGCAGGAAGATTACCATGAGTTCAAGACCAACTTGAGCTAAATAGTTAGTTCCAGACCATCCTGGCCACACAGGGGCTCCAAGTCAGCCTGGACTACAGAATGAGATGCTGTCTAAAAAAAACTCAACCAAGTCAAACCAAAAAATTACCTGTCTAAAACAAAATAAAGGACTGGCGATATGGGTCAGAGGTTCAGAGCACCTGCTGTTCTTGCAGGAGATCCAGGTTCTGTTACTAACACCTGAATCAGGTTGGTTACAGCAGCCCATAACTCCAGTTTCAGAGTATCTTATGCCCTCTTCTGGCCTTTGTGGGCACTGCACATACATGGTGCACATACAGATAAGCAGGCACACACACACAAAAAATAAAAAGTAATTTTTTTGAGACAGGGAGAGTCTCTCTTTGTAGCCCTGTATGTCCTGGAACTCACTCTGTAGACTAGGCTGGCCTCTAACTTACAGAAATGTGTCTGCCTCTGCCTCCGGAGTGTGCAGGGATTAAAGGCAAGTGCCACCAAGCTCAACACAAATAATTTTAAAAAAAAAGAATGAAGTAAGTGATGGGGGGGGTCCTTCTGTGTATGTTTATCTTATTGGTTATTGAATAAAGCACTGTTAGCCAATAAGGAAACAAGATAGGTGGGACTAGGAGTCAAGGAGGATTCTAGGAAATGTAGTAAAGAGAAGTCTTGTTATCCAAGCAGGAAGTGACATAGCAGGCCAACTCAGAATATAAGCAGGGACAAGCAGGAAATTGCTCTTCTTCCTCCTCCTCTCTTCTCTGTGGACCTGCCATGTGATCCCAGGAAGAGGTCCCATTCTGCTGGCGTCCTTGATAAGTCTTATAAAATATATAGATTAATAGTTATGGTTGATACTTAAGACAGAGCTAGAAAATATGAAATCTTAGTCATTGATCAGCAGTATTGTACCTAATATTAATCTCTGTGTGTTATTTTGGGCGCCCACATGGCGGTGGGGCTTGGGCGGTTTGGTGGAAAGATTTATCGTTATAAGTAAGTGTGGTCTGAGAAGGTAGTTCAGTGGATTAAGCACTTGATATGTAAGCATAAGGCCCTGAGTTTGGATCCCATAACAATGGGGCTCTGCAGGGTGCCTTTATGAACCCAGAGCCAGGGGACACAGATATGAAGATCCTGGTAGCTTGAAGGGCAACTGCTGAAACAGCAAGTTTTAGTGAGACCCTCTCTCAAAAAATAAGGTGAGGAGCCATAGAGGAAGACATGGACCTCTGACCTCCATTCACGACCATCCCCAAAGACCTGAGTTAATAGAGAGCAATTAATAAGACTCTCTAGGAAAGAACTCTTGCTGGCAGAGAAATAAGCATTTGCAAAAGTCCTGAGGCAAGAGCATATGTGGAATGTCTAAGAAAACACAAAAGACCTAATGTTGCTATAGAAAAGTGATCTGGACCCGGCAGTGGTGGCACACGCCTTTAATCCCAGCACTTGGGAAGCAGAGGCCGGTGGATCTCTGTGAGTTCGAGACCACCCTGGTTTATAG